AAGAGCACGTGGAAGCCTGCTCAGATGCAGGGGAGGCTTAGCAATGGGAAGACCTCTGAGTTGCCTTGAGTTAAATTGTCTTTTAATAGCATGGTTCCGCTCCGTCTTTAGACTCATAGGATTATCGGTTCTGATGTAAATATGTGTTTAGCATTACAGTAAAATGTTATGTCAATACATGGAAGACTGGTTGCCTATTTGAGCCGCTGCTGTTTCCACCATGTGTCGCAGATTAGAGGTGGCCCTGGACGGGGGCCAGGCTGGTGCTTGATACGCTCTAAATCCAAAGTGGTATCGGAGAGAGGTTTACTAGCCTAAGTGTGGCTGATCCATTTGATAAACTATATGACATATTGTTCCTCTTAATGCACTCTGTTTATGTTTTCGTGTGAACAGGAGTAAAGATATTGAACTGTCGTAATTCAGTAGTTAAAATCTCTCCCGCAGGAATGACCACGGATGGCAAATGCAGCACGTGCTCAGGGCTTTCCATCCGCTCCGCTGGCTTAATTAACTGCAAATAGTCAGGTCACTGTCTTTGAAAACTTAATAGGTGGTGTCAGTGTTTAATTGATGATATGGAAAGAGCAAGAGGGTGTCCTATAAAGGCACAGGATGCCCTCTCGCTCTTTCCATATCATTTTAGTCCTCGGAGTGCTGGCATAGCTTAATGCCATCTGCAAGATGATGCTTTGGGAATCCTGGCTTAGGATAAAAAATAATAATAATAATAAAAAAATCATTAATCTGTATGTCCCCCAGGAAGTCGAAATGATTAGCTGCCCTCTGCATTCACTGTGCACAGCGCTTGGCTGCTGTTTCCAGGAGGTAGCTTGAAGAAATTAAACATTCTTTAACGTTTCACTTAAAAACAAAGCGGAAACCAATATGAAGAAGCTGAAGGGAAAAAAGACCCTTGAGTGTAAATAGCTATAAGCAGTAATGTGACAGCTAATCTAAGAATTGTTAGATGTTTAAGATATAATTACTGTATATTAACCAGATGAGATCTACACAAAGAGTCTGATGAGCCTGCCAGAGAAATAAACCACAAAGTACTAGCTGGCCTGATTTATTTTTTTCCATCATCATGTTTTAAATGTTCATGCATACTGATTAAAATTTAGGTTTGGGTCCTGAAAGCAGTTGCCAAGTTTTGTCACTCGGGGATTTTTAGATGCAGTAGATTTAACCCTCTGCCCGTCCTTTTGATGGCTAGCTTCCCAAATACCTGGGCCAGATAATATTCTGCCTTGTCCAGCTGAACTGATGCATTCAGACTTCCTGAGGAAAAAGCCTCTTGAGTGCTTCTAAGATATTTATTTATCCAGGATTCATCTTACTGAATTTACTGTTTGCTAAAACAGGCGGTTCTGTGTTGGCCCGGCATGAGATAATATGTTTGAGTTCACTCTTTCATTCCTATGGAATGATATTTGAGATGCTTGGCTTTTTCATTTTTTCTAGAATATCAGGGGAAAATAATTTCAAGTGGAGAGAGAATTTTGCTGAACATCTGGGAGCAAAATGGGAAAAGGTTGATAAATGGCATCTTGCTGACATGTAATAGCAACTAGCTCAGTGAAAGAATCTAGGGCATTGCAAATAAAAGGATTTTTCTTAACTGTAGTTCAATTGGATATGCGGTTTCGTGCATACAGTTGACAGTAACAGATTATTCAGATTGTCAGATTTTAAAAAGCGAAAAATTTCAAACTTAAGTCATGCAGTAATCTTAATTTGGGGAGCAGCCGTATCTGTATACAACAGAGACAGACGGTTTTTGACTACTTAGCTCAGCAGAGAAGTGTCTTGTTCAAAATGTATATTCTGTTCAGAGGTTAACTGCTATAGTAAATATATGGAAGTATTTCATACACCGATTACGGTACTGTCAGGTTATACTGATAACTGCGTAAGTTTAAATTCTTTCAAGTGTTGAGTGTCCAACTGTTCTTCATTTCAGTCATTTTATGTTTGAGACACAGTGAGTTTAAAACTTGCACATTATTTTGATTTTCTCTGTCGCACGCAGAATACCTTTACCCGTAAGCTTAAATACTCTCAAATGAGCCAGAATCTCCTCACGTGCACCAGTTTAAACTGGAAGTAAGCTCACAGCAGTCAGACTTTGCAAATAGAAATAAAGGGAAAATTGTGTCTTTAAAACAAAGCAAAACTGAACATAACCCAAAATATTTTCAAGAGAAAAGACTTTAGCTGTATAGAATTTTTCTCTTGTATTGCTCTACCAGTCTGATGTCAAATGACATTTTTTTCTTCATTTAACATAATTGTCTCTGAAATGTAACAGTGAAACAAACCATTAGCAAAACGCTGAGCTGTCAGAAGCAATCACTGGTTTCGGATCCAAACGGGGTGCTTTCCCTTCTCGGAAGGTACTCGTTGCTGGTTCCTGCAGAGGTTCTTTGTGAAGCAGCCAGCACTTCAAGGGCAGCGCCGTAGCCGGGAAGATCCGACCTGTCCCTCTGAGTTGAGCTGCTGGGGCTCTGTGCGTTGGGGCTCGTCGCTGCCCCACAGACTCCTCGGAGCTTTTCTTCTAAACCAGGGTCTCCACCAGCTCCGGTCGTAGCTGGGAGCAACCATTGCCGCTGCGGATCGGGCAGGAGAAGCTCAAGTGATAACAAACAGGATGAGAAATAACCTGCTAGCCGCCTATCTAAATAAATGAGGCGCCTCGTACTGTACCAGAATGTTTTGACAAAGTGAAAGACGTATAAACTAACCTTTCTTTCTTCCTGAAGTCCTTTCCTCTTTTGCGTGAGTAACTCTTGGCTGAGCAGCCCGAGTTTGCTTCAGGAATGTCGATAATAAAATGGGAAGGCTTTGGGAGTCGGTAGGAATTGGGGGTGGGTTGGACGCTCCATCCGGTTGCTCCGGATGCAGGCTCCCTGCGAGCAAACCATCTACATCCAGCCCCACCGCACAGACGGAGACGAGACATTGTAATGAATTGGATGTGAACTAGTAATTAAAAGCTGTGTTGATGATTTCAATTCTCATGCTTTTATATTGCTCAACTTTTGAGCGTTTAATCTGCAGCCTTTAATGCGAACCGACGAATACAGGATTCCTCCCCTGCAGAACCGTGGCAGTTTTTGGAGCAATCATGGACAAACTGAGAACTTTGAAATGCAGCAGCACAGGCTTCAGCTGAGTTAACAACAGTAATTAGCCATTAATTTGTGCTGGCCAGCCACGGGAGGGGGACGAGGCAGCTGCTTTTCCAGGGGGTTTCGACAGCTGCTCCTAGAGGTTTGGGGTCCCCCAGCCACAGCCCCCCATTGCTGCCTCTGCTGCTGCTTTCTCAACCTTCTACTCTCTCTTCCCCACCACCCGCCTGACTCTCATTCTTTCCCAGGTTTGGACAGTTTCACAAGCATGACAAAACACGAAGATGATGCCCGCTGCCAAATTTCTTGGCTTTAGAGCATACTGTTAGCAAGTTTTGTTTAAGCAGGATAGGTTTAGCGTGTGGGCTTCAACACGTGCACGTGCTCGCTCTTACTCGTACACGTGCAGGACTTTCTTATAACCTTATTCCTGGGAATGGTTAAATCCATCAGGAAGGTGATTCAACCTGAAGTTAAAAATGTCACCGTGAATGGAGACTGTCGTGGGCTGTGTTAGGCAGGGTGATCCCTGGGTATCCGATCCCTGGGTGTCCGATCCCTGCCGCGCTTGCAACACGTAGGAGCAACAACAGAGGTTCCCAAATTGTTATATAGTCGTTAGTTCAAAACAATAGATGGGAAAGGTGGTTCCTGTGATCTCCGTGTGCCTGCAAATGAAGCGCCTTTCCCCTGATGGGCACCTGCAGGGCTCTGCTGGGGTCCCTGCTGCTCCCCACGTCCCTGCCCGCCGGCGTTCCCCCGGGAACGCAGCCCCATCAAGCAGCAAGGCCGGTAACGTGGCACTGTCGAAATGAAGGCGTTCGTTAATTTTGTCTGTTGTTGTGTAAAAGGTTACAACGGCTTGCTGGAATAACATAGATTTTATCTCACAGTCGTTTATCATAGAGTCACGTTAAAGCTGTCTGCAGTCTGGCTATGCTGAGCTTGCTGTCAGTCTGATTGTTTGAAATGATGATTTGTTATGGTACTTTGCCTATGTATTCACTATAATTGGGATCCTACCCCAAAACCTCAGACATAACATCGGTAGAAAATATTCTTTCTATAAATCCATCCTGCTCTTTCTAGAAGCAAATATACGCTTATTATTTTTATTATTATTTTGGATGCGGAAAACTAAGTAGCTTTACAGTTTGCTGCATGGCAAAGTGCATTCAGCTTTTCCAGTGACATTCTTTACAAAACGGATCACACAGAAGCCTGCAGGAATTCCTAGCGTGAAGATAGTGCCGCCTGAATTTTCCCATAGGCGGTGTTTAAAGTCGAATTGGGTTGTGACATTAAATAACACCATATGGCATGTTCGTTCCCTGCTGCTAGAACTAGATGCTCAGTGCAGTTTCAGTAGCGTTTTACAAGAGTTGATTGATTTTGGGCTGGGTTATAGGTTCTCAGAAGTTAGATGATCTCGAAGAAAAATTTAGTGTTTGTCTTATAAATACCAAAAGCAGCACATTTGTAAGGGCTGTTTGTATTAATATAAGTCTGGGGACGGGCCTGTATGTATGTGTACGTATAATAGCGTACGTATAAAAGCTTTGTCAAACCTGTTAAGAACTGAACTTGGAAGCAAGCTCTACTTCAAATGATTAACTTCTGGGGATGTGCGTAAACTATTTTTGTCCTCCAGGTGATTTTCTTTCTAAGGGGATGCCAAAAGCATTCATGCAGACTATCAAAGCTCAGTAAAAGGAGTTTGCCATTTCAGTTGTATTTCTGAACCTTTCAAAAAATAGAGATTAAAGCACCTGCAGATGCAGACAGTACATTCCACGCATGGCATGCTTTCCGGCATCCTTTCATTTTGATTCTTCCTTTTTTTTTTCTTTTTCTTTTTTATTACAGTTCTTTGAGGTTCCGTTCGACTCAAATATGAACAGGACAAAAACCAGACCACTGGTGCGAGGACAGATCAGGTAAGGCTCCGGGAAATGAGAAATGAGTCTTCACGTTGCTTTTATATGTCTCCAAGCTTCTCTCTCTCTTCAGATGACGAAAAATAGCGATTTCAGACAAAAGACTTAAGAAAGAAATGCACTTCTCTGTTCTTCCTATTTCTTCATGTTTATAACTTTCATGTGAGGAGTTTGGGTAATCAGCTGTCCTCTACAATACTGAATTTCTCAAGAGAGCAGAATTTCCACTTGTGTATTTCTTCACGTGTGACGACTACGTGCACAGCGTGGTACCATACAGTTATGTTCCACTCAACTTTTGCATTCATTTGTAACAACAAATCTTCAACATTACCCATCTAAGAACAAACACAAAAGCGTATTTTGGTTTTAGTAGTCACAGTTATCTGTTAGATCATGAACATTCATTTGAATCTCCCGGCAGAGGTGTCTGCAACTCATTTTTTTAGTGGTTTTATAAGGCACCATGGTGTCTTTGCCTTTTCTACATGTTTAGCATAAAGCTGGGGTGAAAACTCACAGCGGTGGCATCTTACGAAAATAAAAAATTTGTCATCGTTTAGGTTATCATCATCCATAAGTAAATCCCTTCCTTCCCTCCCCCAAAAAAAACACCCTGTATTTGCATAGGGACTCCCTTAAAAAAAAAAAAAAAACCAAAAAAACCCTTCATTCACTCTGTTTTCTGGGTTATATATCAGTTCCATGTCTCAAAGGCTGTTTTCCAGCTAAAAAAGCAAAGTAAAAAAGAACATCAACAAAAACTCTAACTTATTTGCAAACTAAAACTGAAAGCCCAATTCATAAATGATTCAACAAACAATTTTAGTATTGCATTTCCATGATTTGTGCCAAGGATTATTTATAACAAAATTATATTTTCCCTTAGGCTTCTGCGAACAGTTGGTCCTGTTTATTTCTGTGTTTTATCCATCACCTTTGGAGGACTGAAAAACATGTGATGGATGAAATTACAAGAAAATTGAGACAAAATAGTGAAGTGAACCTCGGGGGTAAATTCACTCTCATTGTAAATAGTAAGAGCACTTTAATAAACTTGTTCCGATTTGTTCTCGAAGATGGTGCTAATTACAGATTCCTGAGTTGAGTTAATTTTATTTAAAAACGTATTTTAGGGAGCACTGCAGTGAGGGCATCTGCTGTGCATCCAGTAAGTCAGCCTTACTGGGGCAGTTCAGGAGAGCTGCGCTTCTGCTCCACTTGCGTCTGGTCCTTTAGCCCTGGAAGAGGGAACCCTTCATAGGAAGAAAGATGATGGGGAAGGATTTATTTTTTTTATTATTGTTTTTTATCATAGTCTACTAGCATGGCTTGCAGTGTTTCTGGAGTCAAAAGTATAGCTAGGAAACTTTCTGTCAGCTTTTGATTCAGAGAAAGCGATTTGTTTTATATGTTTCCAGTGTCCTTAAACGAACTTCACTGTCATCTCAATGCACCAGAGATTGGCAAAACCATATTTAACGGAGTTTCTTACTTTCTCCCCCTTCATATTTGCATTCACCACAAAATGGTAATGTTGGGGACTTTGTGTAATCACTCAGCAATCTATCTACCTGACTGTCAACAGCTAATTTAAAGTTCTTTAAAGTGTCACTTACCTTGAATAATGCCGGTCTCGTTCCCTGTAGACCACAGAACACGCAGACCTCGACTGGGGTTATTTCTTCTGCGGTGTGCCGGAGGAGAATAATCCAGTGCAAGTGATCTAGCCTTGTTATATTTTGCCACATATTCCCTGGTGTTCTTTGAACTCTTTCCTTTCTGGCTGATTAAATAAAACCCTTAAATAATTATGCTAGAACTAGTCAAAAACAGACGAGACAGAGACGGATAAATTGTATGTAAGAGACTGATGTCTTGGCTCTGGGAAGGAATCCAGAGAGCTTGGGGTATGTACAGAGTTCTTGCCCAAAATTTGTCTGACATTTGAGTTTTGACATTTTCTTCTCTTTAGCTGCTTCATATCATGAAATGTTTGGTGCTTTTTTAATTCTGCTGTTACAACATCTGTGATATCCAGAGCAAACGAGGCATCGTTTTACCATCCGCCTTCATTTGCACTGTTTGTAAATGTATTGTGATTCTTTCCTCTCCTCTCCTTCCTCTCCTTCCTTCCTTTTATTTATTTTATTCTTTTCCTTTTATTTATTTTGCCTAGTCCTTGTTACAGAACTGGTCAGCAGAGTCATACCAGTTTTCGTATGGTCCAGTCCTGAGCTTGAGATCCCTTTTGAAGAGGGAAGAGATTGTTAACTCTCCATCGTGTTGGCTCACTGCACCTCCTTGGAAAGGCTTTTGATGGTGGCTTTGATGTGGACTTCTGCCCACTGAGAAACTGCACTGAGACTGGAGACTTTTTTTTATAGAGGTTGTGGCATCGCGAAGACAATTCTTAGATGCTTTGAACTTGGGCCAGAATCAAACTGGCAGCCCCCAGTGAGAGGTCCGTGGTGTTACGGAGCCATCCAGACCCTGGATGAGCTGGCGTCTCTATTTTAGATGAGCTAATTCCTGGAGCTGGCTCATTAGGAAATGTTACACTGTTGTAGAGAAATTATTCCCCTGTGTTTCACTTTGTGGCCTCCATTTGCAGCTTCAGCCCCAAGTTTAGTTAGGTTTAAGATCAGCTGTCAGTTCTAACCCACCTTCCATCCAACATTTCTTCCCATTCTTTCTGCCTGAAGCCTTTACATTGAAAAAACAGCACAACTCCCCCATCTTGACACCACTCGTGAGTGTTCATTTCCCTTATACACACTCGCGTGGTTCCCCAGTCCCCACGTCTGACCCTCTTCTACAAGGACTTCCAATTTCCTTTGGCATCAGCGGGGAACCTCAGTAGCTTTCAAGGAAACACTCCGGGGCTGGGGCTACACGGTGGAGTGTGAATGTCGGCATGGCCACGGAGGTCAGGCTGGGCATGGAGGGCATCGTTACCTTACAGGTCACGTTTAAGAAGTGTTTAAATTAGGCAGCTTTAGCCTGACCATCGCTCCAGGATGGAGCCGATTCTGCAAAGATCTCTGGAAGGATGGGATTTGGAAAAGCAATGGTCTTCCATCCTTTGTGAAGTCCTCTCCATATTGTGTCAACTTTATGGTTGAAATAGTTGTCCAGAGGCTCCGTGTGCCCCCGGTATAAAATCCTCTGACCCTGAGGTGAGACAGGCCGTACAGGCAATGGCACAAGGACTCTGCAGCGCTGGAGTCTGCTGTGCGTAGGACAGGCGTACATAAACCTTACTGGCCAGCCCCAAACCCACTGCCGATACCCCCAGGGAATCTTCTGACGCTATTGCTAGATTTGTGACAAACGGCACCTGATAGTTCATTGACTGCTTGCTTTGCAATGTCCTATTTAATTTGGAAGGCTTGAAAAAAATGTTCCCTTTGAGCAATGAGACGTAACCATCCTTATTCTCTATTCAGAGAGTAATCAGAGACATCCTGTTGCAAAAATAACAAGAGCAGACCCAAACACAGCATGCCACTAAACGCCATCCATCATTCCAGCCTGCCCACACGTCCTCCTCCCTCCTCTGACCCCTCCAGTCTTGTTTGGAAATACAAACAGCTTGAGATGTTCTTCATACTTCAGCTGCAGTGTTAAACTCGTTGAGCGTATTTGCATTTTGCATTGTAACAACGCCTGATGTTATTTTTCCTGCTATGAATTGTTTTTCTGTCATTGACGAGGAAAAATTTCATGTGCTCACACAACCTTAGATTCGACTGAAATGGCAGCAGCTTTTCCTGGTTTCCTGTTGGTATGACTTATTCCCTTGCTTTTTGAGGTAATGGATTTAATTTTCCTGCAGATTAATTTAAATAAATCTCTAGTATAAGCTGCAGTAGCTGAGTGAGCTTAGCCTCGAAGATGACAAGTGTCCTGCTCCGTTATATTGCACAAAGTGACAGTTTTGATTGCCCTTCTGCACGGAACTGCACACATTCTTGTTGAAAAGCGGCTGGTTTTATGAACTTACAGTACTGCTGGATCTGCTGGGCTAAGCACCCATAAAAAAACTTAGTAGTTGTACAGAATAGTTTTTCATCTTAAAAAAAAAAGTCATCAAACAGCACATTCTAAATAACTCATTCACGACCCTGGAGACACCTTTCAGTTCTGCTCCTGCGGTATTTTACAACTTGCAGTTGTTTTCTGTACCAAGTCCTTTGCTCTTAGCAGTGGCTGCAGCGTCTGCCTGGGAGCGGGGCTGGGATTTCTCCCTCGCTTTACCTCCGGGTTTTGTGTCTCCTGGGCTGTGAAGCTTTGCGCAGGCAGCGTCAGAGGATGGTCCCAGCTGGAAGGGACCCCGGGAGAGCTCAGACCACTCTCCTGCTCACAGCAGGGTCAGCTCTCAGGTCAGACCTGGTTGTTCCAGGCTTTATCCAGTCTTGTCTCAAAAACCTTCAATATAAGAATAATATGCAATGGAATTTAATTATATTCTCCTTACGCAGAATATTTGCGCTCTCAAGCTTGCTTTTCCTTGTGCATTTAAGAAGTTTAAGTCTGTCAACTTGGTGGAAGAAGGCACAACACAGATAACGCCTTGGATGCTTCAAAAGAAATAAATCTTCGTGGTGTTTGGTAAACATTTTCTCCCATTAATCTCCTCACTTAGCAATGCACAAGGAGCTGTGTTCTGTATATGAGCTTCCCGCTTCTTATGGCCACGTAACGATTATTGCAATTAACGGCGACAGTGACTTGCTGACATTTCCGAGTGGAGTGTTGACTTTGGTCAGTTGAAGCTATAAGTCAAACTCTTGAAGAATCAGACCAGAAAGAGTTCCTACGCTGGTAATGTTTTTCCCTGATGGCTTCTGTTTATGAATTGTAGTTATAATTGCAAATATGTATGTTGGACATTCATAAGCTGATAGTAAACTGCAACACGTCAGGCTTTCCCTCTTTATTCAAAAATACATTGAGACTCGAGACTAGTCCTATGTAAAGCTGAGTTTTCCTCTCAG